ACGCGTGCCTCTCGCGAAACTAAAAGAAAACGTATTCGTTTACGTTTCGCAGGCTCTCGTTGCGTTTCCACCACCGTCTGTCGTTTTCGAAGGACAGTTTCGCTTCGAGAAGTAAAACTCATTGAAACAAAAAAGGAGACCGCGTTCTTTAAGCTAACTGAATCCTGCAGGGATTTAATCTCGCGACGAACAAAGTTCGAAAATAAATATAACGAAGCTTCTAAATTTTGGAGAAATTTTCGGAAAATATTTTTTCACCAGGGAAAATGGGAAGACTTTAATCCTTTGCATTGTTTCGTTAACAGCATACAATTTATTTTTCGCAAACGATCAGATTTGAAAAATAACTATAACGATGTTTTAAATTAATCAAAATTGCTTCCTTATATTTTTATTTATTAGAGAAAATTGGGAAAAATTTGAACCCTCGTAATCCTTTGTTAGTAACGCGCAATTTATTTTCTGCGCTGATTAAATTTGAAAATTCTCGAAATACAAAGGGTTAACGAAGAATTTTTCTCGCGTAAACACGTTTGCTCTAATTAGAATTCATTGTTATATCGTTCAAACACGTCGTTACCCATCGAGTCCCCTGACGAAATTATTTAATGGAAATATATAACCTATTATGAAATTTAATAATGAAATTTAATTAAAGGGCTGCCGTTCGGTATCACACGTTGTCCTACGTTTGTCTAGAAATTTCATTTTCGCGTGTCAAAACACGTAAAACCCAAAGACCATTTTCCGCGAAAAACGAAATCACCTTTAGAAAAACCAAAAATAATTAGGAACTAGTAGAAAACAGAAAATGGTATTCGAAAATACGCACCAATTCCCGGAAATACTCGTTACCAAAATTGTAAAATACGTGAAAGAGAGTAAAACGAATAAACCGCTTAACAGTGAACCTGTCACGATCGGTCATAATGATCGATAGATGGGAAAATGAAAGAGGAAGAACTTCAAAGGAACTGGTATAGAGGAAGATATTGAAAAATTGATAATACGTACAGTCGATCACAAAGATATTCGAACTGTAATATATATCTTATCTTTATGTTCTGTATTATACAAAAGACTTAAAAATACACTATCTTATAATACAGTATAGTTCTTATATTTAAATTTGAGACACAAAAATATTCGGACAGTATAGAAATTGAGCTTACAAAATTAAACCAATCATTTTTATCTAAGGATTAATATTTTTTTGAGTATCCTTTTTGGTGCAAAACATGACTTAGATGCATTTGTATGTAATAAATAATTTTGTTTACATAATCAATGCTAATACAATTCCAGATGTCTCATAAATTAAATATATTAACTGAAATATCGAATAGTCGAGCGGGGTAACTGATAACACTGAATGCAGAATTTTTAATCCAAAATGTTGAGAACGGTCGTTTAGTCTGTAGTGGGTTCAGTGTTAACAGTACCTCTACGTTACATGTAAATCGGCCAAAATTCGCGTTAAATAGATTTCCAAATAATTCGAAGAATTTTACAAATTTTCGTCGATCCTAGATCCACGCGATAATTATCTCATTTTGGTAACGAGTTTTTCCCGGACACGAGTCCGTTGAAAATGTTACTCACTGTCTCTAACTATAGCGTGTTTACATGAGAAACATGCACGCGACACATCACCGGACCAGACATGTAGTCGGCGGAACGTAAACTTTTCACCGGTGTATTTTCGTCAGCACGGGAATTCGCGTACGCTGACACGTCTCGTTGAAATTCTTTCGTCAGATAGAATGCGCACGCGCATGGGACAGATGGCGGAACACGCGAGAAATACAGTGATAAGCCGCGATTTTTCCCTATCTTCGTTCCTCCGTTTACGTTAAAACCGCGTGTCAAACGTGGCATTGATCGTCACAGTGGTCCAATTTATGAATTTGGAGAACACTGACTTTCTATCTTACTCAATAGCATTCTTTGTTAGGCCGGTCTGCACTGTGACAAGGACGCCATTTTATAACGCAATTAATCTTCTACAACCGCAAGCTGCTTTGTCTACGAGAATAAAAAAAATAGATTAAAGATTCCTTGGTTCTAATTAAGGCTTAATTATTGATAGTATATAATGATAAAATGAAAATTATAAGATGACAGTATGTAAATAAATGGAATTGAATTTGTAAAGATTTTGAAGGTTATGTCGAATTAATTAAGGGATTACCTTTGTCGAGGAGGTAGTTTTCCGATGCGTGTAAACATAAAACTCATGTTAATTGTAACCAGAGAGCAATGTATGAGATGGATTTTCTCTTTGTGCCAATTAAAAAAGCAGTAAACAAACTTTTAT